GAAGAAACGCTCCAATCCTTGGTCAGCCTGCTTTCTTGTGGGCTGCAGCCGAGCACAGCAAAGGGAGGTGCCTGTGTATGAGAGCGGGGCCCAGGGGCACGCACCCCTGCACCCCGCGCCCCTGCACGGGCTCCTCCAGCGCCTTCCCCTTCTCCTGCAGGACCCGATGCAGAGAGGGCGGGAGGACATGGCACCCCGGTGCCTCTCCATTACAATTTGTACTGACGGGTTTGCTGCACGTTATTCACAGAGCATGCCCGGCTAAGGAGGCGGTAGAAAGTGCACTGCAAAGGTAACTCCTCCTGTGTGACTAGAGATGGACATGAACAGGGAGGCCCTGCTAGCGTGAGCTGCTTGTCAGTTCAGTCAGTTTAGAGAACAGTCTTACAGTGCTGGGAACTAAATTAACAATACAGTTCCCAAGGCTGCAGCCCCAAAGCTTGGGAGCTGACTGAAGTAAAGCTTTTTTTCTTTCTTTTTCTTTTTCCTTTTCTTTTTTCTTTTTCCTTTTTTTTTCTTTTTTAATTTTTCTTTTTTCCTTTTTCCCCCCCTTTTTTATTTTTCTTTTAACGATCCCCCATTCCCATTTCCCTATGCAAAATTGCCTAGCCTACAAAATCCGTACCTCACTCCCTCCAAAGAATCACGACGCAAGTGTCCCTCCTTCCCCTGCTGCAACTGCTCCTCTGGGTGGCAGGCCAGGGAAGCCAGCCAGGACACCACAATCCCCTGAGGAGCTGGCTCGCCCTTCTGTAATCAAAAGGGTGCGTTAATTACAACCCTTGCCCAGAAAAAGATGCACGAGAAATGCCAGCCAGAGAACCCTGGTGCATCCAAAGCCACCAGCAGCTTTTTCCTCCCTTCTAGGAAGGGACCAACCTTTAAGCCCTCACTAGAGCTTGTCATGAACCTAAATAGGACTTCAAAGGGAAGGCGAGAAGGCAGTCCCTCCTGACCCAAGGAGGAGACAGGGCAGATACATTTCCCCGAAGACAGGCAGCACGCAGTCCAGGGGAGGCGCAGGGGATTACTCAGACTCTGTTTCACCTTCTCTCTCCTCCCCTCCTCGTCCTCTGCTTGGGGCTTCTATGGAAAACCCACCGGAAAAGGATGTGGGAAGTAAGCAACATCACCCTAAAGCTCTCCAACATTAGCTGTAATTACATTGCATGTAAGTGCAGGGGCACATATACATGTGTCTAAGAGCTCTGCGCTGCATTCTTGCAACTGCAGCTATACTGAAGCAAAACCTTCATTAAAATAAGGTGGAGGCTGTGACCACAGATGTCCCATCCCCACTTCCATCCTTCCCTTGACAGATCACTGTTAACCTCAGAGTTCATTAAAACGGTATTCCTTCATACTTTGCTAATTTTCAGTCATTTTCAGAACGGGAAATAAATGTCTGCAGTGAACATGCCCAGAGCTCACTCTGCAAACTCCGCAAGCTGCTCTCCCTGGGCAGCAGCGGGTACCTCGCTATGCCCAGTACTGCCGTGCTCTGCAGCAGGTCCTGTCCCTCTGCCTCCTTCCCTCGACTCCGCACGAACGGGTCGGGAGCTGTGCTTGTTCATCTGTCCCAGCTGGGCCAGTCTGTTTCTCAGGTGGGTGGGTGGAGAGCACAAGCCAGTGCCAGCCTCTGCCCGACACCCAGAGAGGGGCAGCAGGAGGATCTGCTCTTCAGGCTGCAGGACTGGGGACTCACAGGCCTGGTCTTTTGGTGTGTGACAAGCATGTGACAATAAGACATACATAACATCTAAGAAGTGTTTCTGTTGTATATCCAGATTTCCTGCAAGCATTCATGATCAAGCAATAACCTATAACGCGAAGAGGAATAAAACAGACTTGTGGAATGGCACCGAGGTTATTTGCACTGTTACTGCATCAGGAGCTGCGGCTCCGGTCCTGCAAAGACTCACACCCGAGCCTTAAAGGCAGGTGCTGTGAGCAGCCCCCCTGGAGTCAGAATAACACGGAGGGAGCAACACGCTGCAAGCATGAGCCAAAATAGGGCATGTGTGCTTTCAGACTGCAGGCCACCCGGAGTAGGAGCATTTTAAGAAAGTTGTTTGCACGTCTAACACCTTGAGCCACAATCTTGACTTTGGTGTTTGGGTGCTTTCACAATACGACAATAAAAAAAAGAGTACCCGGAGAACAAATGTCGAAACCAATATTCCTGTATTCATTGCATAAATTCTTATGCTTGAAAACGTTCACAGTCCAAATGAATTGTAAATGCCAATGAAGTCAATGACTGGTTTGTGCTCTCATGAATATTTCCAAACATATTTGGGCTGTATTGACCAGCCCTCCTCATTATGAATTGCAGAGGAGGAAGGGGGGGGGGGGGGGGAAAGAAAAAAAAGACAAGTTTGGGGG